CATCCGACGGATATTCTTGAGGATTCCAGTCATGCAGACCGGCATTGTCATGTCATTTTCGATCAGTAATACATCAGATACTCCAGGGTCTGTCATCAAGCTCGGACAAGGCTGCCGTCCAGTTTTGAGCATCATTGGGCCTTGTATTTTGGGCACGTTGTGGGAACGATCGCTCTCACTGAGGCCTGCCTTGTCACTACGACAGTTTGGTTTTTTCTGGGAAAGTACTAGGAGGCCATGACGATCGCGAAGGTCTATCCATTGGCGTTCTGGCGAACTGCGATCGCTGCATGGCCGGAGGCTGGCAGCGCCTTGCTGCGAGGGGGACATGGCACTGGAAGCAATACCAGGGATCCCGAGGCTGACAAGGTGATCGACGGGAACCTGGCTGTACATCGTTCCAAGGCTGAGAGGAATCTTCGTGTCCAACGAGGGGAGCCAATCAAGATGGACAGGGAGGGACAGGTGCGGCTGGGATCTTGGGATGTGACAACGAGGATGAACTGACGGCATGACGGCACGACATCCCACTTTGAGGGCTGGAACGCAGGACTTGTGGCATGCCGCCGGCATGGCACAAGTATGGCCTGGGCATGCCACAAGGATGATCTTGGTAACTGATTGTGACTGATTTGGGACTGAAGTGACTTAGTAATTGTCTTCAACATGTTCTGCCTGAATGACAGCACAGACAAAGGGACGGACTAGGACGATAAAGCCATAACACAGGTCCGCGGCATCGCGACCTGGGATCCTATAAATCCGGTCTGTCCCACCTCAGGTGCAGAGAATCGAAGTCGGACAAGTCCTGGGGTTGTAAAGACCTGGATTCGTTCGGCTGCTGGTATCTTTCCCATCTCTGCCCGACCCTGAAGCACGCCACCTGTTGCGACTCTGAGGAGGTGTGCGACTGCGTGGCGTTGTTTGTCGGGCAGCGGCTGACTGAGAGGGGGGGATCATTGGCTCCATGTCGCGCGGACATGGGTCGATTCTCGGGTTGCGATGTCGGGATGCGGAATCTCTCGATCGGTCTTGCGCGGGTCCTCGCCTTACCCGTGTCAGACCGGTTGTGGACATGGGGGCTGCATGGAAGACGGTGATGCGCGCCTATCATGATGGGGTATCGTCGATTCTGCGTGGGAGGGATTCCGATTCCCGATTTCGTAGTCGCGGGAAGCTGGAGTACGCATGCAGGCCTGATGGTCCACCCTGTCAGAGCCGTGCGTGTGTCGACGACGAGCGCGGGAGGTGTCGGTGACGGCGTGGTTGGAGTTACTAAGCGCTGAATTCGTCGTGAGAGGCCGCTCGTGTCAAGAGCAGGAATATGCTCTGATGTGTATGACCGAGCATGGCATGGTGTCGGTTCATGGGCGCTGGTACTGCGCAAGGCGGCGATCTGCCGTGGGTGCTTCCGGGAGGGTGTCACGATGATCCGGGGACCTGATCAAGCCCGGCGGGTCATGGGTGTACTGCCCGAAGATGGAAGTGGGTGGATCGTTGCTCTTGTTGTCAGGTGGAGTCATGTGAGAGGCACTATGTCCGGAGGAAGGCGTGAAAACTTACTGGTATTACTGTGAGTACTGTGAGGTGTTCGCCAAATCCAGAGTCCAATCGCAGCCAGGTTGATTTACATCGAGTATCATCAAAAGATGCCGATGGGCTTTCTGAGTCAGAGCGCGCGGAGTACTACCATTTGATAATGCTTTGAATCAGTCCCTTTCATCGTTTGAAACACAGATTGCCCAAGTTTACTCCGATGGTGGCTTCCATCATGCCTGCATCATCTGGCAGGTTGCAACAGGTGCCAGTCGCTGCACCACCTTTGAGGAGTTGTAAGGGAAGCATTATCTCCCGAACGCGATGGCCAAGGGGCAATATCTGGTGCAATCAGCATCGCTGCAGTGCTCACACGGTAATGGACAATCAACGATCGGAGTCCGTTGCGGGTGATGTGGGCCGCAGGACACTTTGGCCGTCGTCATGACGAACAAAACTGTATGTTATCATATCAACAATATGGATATGACCATATGTACATTCAGTTGTCACGATGTCTGAAATTAAAGTGAGATGCACTTAGAGAGTTGTTTTGTGGTAATTGGATGCATGAATGGGCGAATTGGACCTCGTTTTGGAATAAATGGTGTTAAATTATGGTATAGTCACCATGGTGACTAATGTGTGGATGATGTGGACAACAAATTGGCATTGCTGCACAAGTGAAAAAACAACAATATGATGCATACGGTGACTAGCTCCCCATTGAGGCAAAACTTAGGGTGTGCACAACAACACAAAGGATCAATTGATGTTTAAGATGATTTGACAAAAGTTTTGATGAGTTAGATGGCTTAGATGAATGAATTGGGCGGTGAAAACATGATCATTGAATTGCTTGCACGATTCTGATGAATTTGGATATGCTATGGTTAAATGACAATCATTTAAGTCATTAAACTCATTTGAATCATTTAGGATAATGATCAATCATCTATTTTTATCAACATAGGTGAATGCGGCATGTCATGGGCTCACACACGCTGGGCTATAGGTGAGAACTTGGTGGCACTGGGTCGTTGGGCGCCGTGTGCCATGGGCATTACATAAGGGTGGTGGCAATAGTGTGATGGGTGATGTTGAGCGTGTCACCGTCCTGCCACCCTTGGCAGCGTGTGTGAGGGCTGTGGGATGCTATGGGCGCCGTGAGAGTTGTGTGGAAAGTGCAATAGAGTGTAAAGTATGCCGGTGGCTGGTGCTGTGCATGGGATAAAGGAAAATGGTGATGGCATAATGGGATATTGTCACTAGAAAATGCATATGGTGAATTCTGGCGAGTGTGGTGGATTCTGACGGGAAGGGGGAATGTTATAGGTGCAATATGTGAGTTCGCAGTGTGGTAGGGCGTTGGAACAGGGTAGTTCAATAGGAAGTGTATGTAGAAGGAAATGGTGTAAGGGAAAGTTCTATGGGATAAGACATGGGGTATTGTGGTGTAAGGGATGTTGTGATAGTGTTGGGGAGTGGTGTTATGGGGCAGAGGCGGAGGCTAAAAGGGGGGGGCCGCTGGTCCATTTGACAATAGTGCCAACCGCCCGCACCCCCTCGTTCTTGGGCCCGGGGGCCCAATAGGGCCTCCCTTCTAGGAGACCTTAAGTACTAGAACACCAAGAAGAAGTCCGAATTTGGACTGGGGCCCCATATGCAAATGTGTTCAAGCGAGGGTGGAGATTCATCTGGAGGATTCGGAGAATATTCTGAAGTGATCCAGTGTGGATAAGGAGGATCAAGGGGATCAAGAACTGAATTGCCGGATGATGGATCTATAGATTCAGAGCAAGGTGTGGTGCAAAGAGCAACATTGCATTTGGCAAGAGGTGGAAAAGTGGTAGCAAGTGTTGTGTGGGTTTCTCAAGTCATGTGTGATGGTTGAATATGTTAGATTGAAAGGGTGATGCATGTGGACTGAGCATTTGAAAGTGAAGTGATGTTGCTCAATCAGGATTGATTTCTTGACGATATTGATTGTGATTGATCAACAATTTAAGCAATGGGTTGTTTGTTCAGTTCAATATGGTGATCTCGAACTCTCAAAGCAATGCGAGTTTTAATGGAGCAAAGATTAAGTTCAGCCTGTGATCTATGGGTCCTTCGGGGCGATCACTAAGGGGCACGTACTTTAACAATGGATGACCATAAAAGTAATGATTTCAGTTTGTGGAACAATTATTGTGGAGATAAGACTGGGAAAAAAATAACGAAATCAATTGTACCATACCCGAGGCGGGCGATGAAATTTACTTCATTGATGTATTTCTGAGATGTGGGAGTCCTGTTGAAAGTACACACTGCATTGGACACACTGTCATTTGGAAATTCAACGATTTAAGAAGTTGCTTTGGCATTTGCAAATCAAAGGGAACACACTTGACCGGGGGTTGACAGCTGGTGAGGTGAGGAAAACTACAGGAAATTTGCAACCGCGCAATGAATGAGCTGCAGGGTATTTATAGCATACATTTATGCTTGTCAATGCTATGTCTGTGCTGTGCATTCCATTCTTTCGTGTCGGTGCTTTGTGTCTGAAATTCTTGGTTGCAGCCTTGTTTTAAGCATAGCACTCTTGGCGATACCACCGCCTTTCCGGGCGCTTATCGATATGGCAATAATATCTCAGCACTACCCTTTGGTAGTGCGTGTGGCAGTGGTACTGTCACCCTGGATGCGGTTGCAGTGTGCTCAAGTCTGAAGAGGATATTCTCATAAGGCTTGTGATTTGTGTTCCTCCGGAGGAACCACGCGAAAGAGTGTTTGGTGAACATAGTGCATTTGGGACTGCTTGATTCATGTTCCGTGATGGTTTCTTGCTTGCCTTAATGTGCCAAGTTCATAGACAATAATTGCTCCAAGGAATACGTGGATTGCGGGGGTATCCGAACACAGACGCTGTGACCTTTGTTGCCAGACCATTACGATAAGAAGCATTCATTGATTGATTGAGTTTCTTGGGACAATGGGGATCCCTATTTCGTTTCTTCCTCACATGCGGCATTTGATCACTATTAGAACCCATTGGACAGGGAATTGCGTGGGCTCATAATGCCTCCCTTTGAATTGCTGCAGCGAGAAATTCAATGAGTTCGGTTTTCGCAATCACCAATGATTGCGGAGTGGCATTTCTGTGACACAGCCCATGCAGCGTAACACTTTCGCGTGCGTATGTATATTTACATGATTTTGAATGGACCACACCACAGGCATTGTCGAATGCCCATCGCGCCCACCAGGGCTTCCCAAGGTCATTCCCTTTCAGCCTAGCAGCCAGGAATATTGCTGTCGGATCTCATGCTGTTCCCAGCGATGTGCCTCAGATGTTCCTATTCACCCCATCTGCTGAAGCCACCCTCCCAGGCAACTTCGCTCCCATTCCAACTCATATGAACCAAGAGCGGCATTCTATTCGCCCATCACATTGGTGCAACGCCCCGCTCCCCGTGAAGGCCTCAAAACAAGGATGTCTTCTTCATGATGCGGAAAAACTCCTCTTCGTTGACCTCCCCATCGCCGTCGCGATCCGCCTCGTCAATCATTTCTTGCAGCTCCTCGTCCGTCATATTTTCCCCCAGCTCCTTGGCGACGCGCTTCAGATTCTTGAAGGAAATCTTCCCTGTGTTGTCGTCGTCGAACAGCCGGAACGCCTTCATGATCTCTTCTCGAGAGTCCCGCTCGGACATCTTGGCGGTCATCATCTGCAGGAATTCTTCAAAGTCGATTGTGCCCGAACCATCTTTGTCAATGTCCGCAATCATCTTCTTGATTTCCTCCTTCTTTGGCTCGAAGCCGAGTGCCCTACCCCCAGCGTACAATTCAACAACTTGGATACTGTATTATACACCGTTTCAGGGTCTACAGAATGCCATTTGTTGCACACTGGCAATGTGTCTAGCGTCGAACAAGGCTATCGTTTGTCAATCTTCCTTTCATGAATTCTACGCTGGAACCGATATTAAAAACCAGTGATGGGTGGCTCCAAAACAAGGGTAAAATTAAGCAAGTCGGTGCCATTCAGAACACGGTACTCTGCAAATTGTCGATTTTCAGCAGGGCGACTCGAGCACGGCTTAAAAATGTCAATTGGGTACCTCCACTCCAACAAAATGGAGTGTTACCTCATGGCAACCTTCAGCTCCTTGGCATCGATGGTACCGGATCCATCTGTGTCGAACAGATCAAAGGCTTCCCTGCAGAGCCGCGAGTTGCGAACACATTCAGCTGTAGCGCCCATGTAGCACCAGCCGAACCGTCTTGATCACGAATGGGACATCGCAAGGTAAATTGCCCTCGCCTTATAGAAGTCATGGCAGCAGGTTCAGCCGCCCGCTATCTTTCAATCGCTTGCTTTTCCAAATGTTTCACAGCGGATAAAGGCAACAGGCTCGGCACTTTTCCTCAGTGAGTTTGCTTCGGCCGGCATTGTCGTAATGATTCCATCCGTAACCATTTGCAGAAATATCTGCTGCTGCGAAGGCGTTTGTCTCGCCGACATTGCACGAGGCCAGGATTGAAAACACACTTTCAGGAAATGCGTCAAGGCCGTAGCGCATTTTCCCGCTCGGCCAACGGCAACACAGCGCAGTGATTTGCCACAACGGCGCGAAGACAGCGGGGCGGATGCCCACCGGATCTCCTGCTTCTGCTCCTCTGTGAGGCCAGTGCGGTTCTTCTTCTCCCTCCGAGCCGCGATTGTCTTCCTGTAGCTTTGCTGCAGCGCAGCATTGCCAAGCTTGGGCGCGACATCAATGTCAAAAAAACGGGAGGCGGAAATATTTCCGCCCGTCAACCCGAGCTTCCTTGCAGACGATCTGCCCTTCAGGCGCCTCCCAGAAACGTACCACAGACGCAAGACCCATTTGACGACCGCCGCGCCGTCAGCGGACGCCGTGGTTCGAATTCGATACCACGCTTCCCGCAGAGGGCGAAAAGCCAAAGCGCGGCAGGGCGGCGCAAATTTAGCGGCGCGGACGCAAGGGTGCCCCCGCCGCTCACAGCATCCGCTTAAGATTGCGTAAGAGCACAGGAGCACGGGAGCAAACGAGCTCTTGCCCGCCAATTCGCAAATCCTGCCCCGACGCGTTTTTCCGCTTCCTGCCCTCTGAGCGGGAACCAAGCTGGCGCAGCGCGGCGTGGCCGGCGCCCGGAGCCTCACCATGTCGTCCTGCCCCTCAGGGTGGCTGACTGCCGGCCTGGTGCGGCGGCGTCCTGAGGGGTGGCGAACCGAGAACGACTTGCCGAGGCACGCTGTCGCCAGTCGCCAGGAGGGGGGGGGGGGAAAGGGGGGCGCGGTACTGCGGGGGCTGCTGGGAAGTCTGGCCTGCCAGATATACACGAGGTCAACGGAATCGACGCGTTTTGGATTGTCAGAAATATTTCGAAATATTGATTATCTTTTTGATTTTGAAATATTTGGAATATGTGTCCGAAATATGGATGTCGCCCTGATCACGAGATGAGGCGCCGACGGTGTGAGCGATGCCGCAGTATGATGCCAAGCTTACCATACACCGCACGACAACATGTGAACAGACAGGCGTGGTGTTGTAAAGTGGCACTGGGACGTGGCGCTGGGCCCATTGTTTGCCCACCCACTGAAGTTACAATCCTGTTTTCCTCCGGAGAGGTGCCCAGCAGAGTTATTGCTTGCATTGAAGTATTGATGTCTGTGGGGTTATTGCTGTGGGCATATATATCGCTAGGTTTAACATCAAACTGGAGCTGGTGGGGGGGAGATATGGGGGAGGGGGGGCTTGGCGTCAATTTAACGTCAAGTGTGACATAATCCCTCGTGTTCACGAGATCCACAATTTTTGCTGTGTTGGGAAGTCCAAGTGCATTGTTGGTATCACATGTCCTCTAAATAGCTTTCAGAATCCTAAACCTTTGTCAGCCGTCCGATCTTGGAAGCAAAATCCATCTGGCGATGCTTATACTGCAACACTAATTTCGCCAGATTCCTCTCCACCTTCATTGAAGAATTGTCTACTTTCTTGCAGTCTATAGTGTGCTGCCCAAGTTGTGCACAGCCGAACTCCTGCTATTCTTTAATGCAAGGGCCTTGTGACCAAGCACCCTATGCAACACACATCGCATATCTCTTCGCATATCAGGTGCACTGACGACCTTTGGGCCATGCGCAAGTGGTTGTTGCATGAAGCATCGATCCAAAATCTTCTCCTATGCACTCCTTCAATGCACTTTTCAAAGATGGATAACTTCCCATAAATTGGCGAGCTTGCAGCAGTGCTTCTGGAAATAATATTACTGCCTGCACCAAATCGGTGACTGCTTGCACCAAGTCACGTGCACACTTTGTCCTAACCTCAGTTTTTGGGGTTAGGTTTAGTTCAGGGTGAGTTTTAGGGTTAGGGCTAGGGTTAGGACAGGTTTAGGTTTAGGGTTTTGGTTTTAGGTTAGGTTAGTTTTGACGGAGTTGGACATGATGTGCACGTGACTTGGTGCAAGCAGTCACCGTTTTCGTGCAAGCAGTCACCGATTTGATGCAGGGAGTAATTTTATGCCGTGCTTCTGCGTTTCGAATCAGCTCAAGTGTCTCAACCAAAAAAGTGCCATGTGTTGTGTGCGTGTTCTGAATGTATTTGCTCGTATTGCCAGTTTGCCAACATGCCTTCTGCACCTTCAAGCAATGCATAGCGGCTGTCCAAGCAAATTTGACTGGTCTATGATGTTGTGTAGCCCAGTCAGTCGTCATGTACCAGTCATGTGTGACACAATGTATGCGGGACAACAAGGCTAACAGTGAATTTTGCAAGTACACCTTGGAATCCCCTACGGAGATATCCAAATCCAGTAGTCTGAGTATCGCTGGCCAATGCACAGCGACACTGCAAACTGTCATGGTGCCTACCACCACATGCGCTCTTGCCACAGTGAAGCATTGTGCCTACACATCAAGGCTGAGAAAGTCCCATTGTGTACTTTTCGCACAGCCCAAGGATCAGATTGAAACTGTCAGGCAGCCACCGGACTGGCTGAGCTTTTTACGAAACTTGATGTACAATTGCAATGTGGATCTGCAGCGTTCCTCCCCACAGGCTGTCAGTGAAGCGAGAAAATGTACCCCTGCAAATCCACAAGCTTCGGGCAGTGTGCACCACAACACCCTACGTCTTTGACGGACAGCCCAACGCTCGTCCAAATTGTGGCACACACAAGACACACACACGCACACATAAGTGGCACTGGCAGTCGCCCAGAACATATGCTGAACCCGGACCTTTCCACCTCCACTCTACTTGCCGCCTGTCCCTTTGCCAGAGATGCCACCACCACAGATCACAGCCTCCGTCTCGCTGTTCCTGAGGAGCCCTCCGGGCTGGGCACAGGTTCACAGTTCGGACCCATGGACGGCTCCTGCCATCCTTTCACTAACATGCATGGCCGCAGACACGCCTTGCTGTCCACGACAATGAAAAAACGTTTGTAAAATGAAAGCATTATTTCGTTATTGGTAGACCACTGGCCACCATCGATCATTTAAGGAATCCTTGCTTTCCTTCACCCCAAAACTGTCCAAATACAGATATTATTATCCACTTCCCTGCTGCTGTTTCTGTCTAAATTCTTAGCCCCTGATCGTTCCCCACTGGCACCATCGACCGGCACCTCACAACCCCACATCTGAACAGCTCCCTTCAAACATGCCCCCCCTCAACCCCTAGCCGCCTGCCACCTGCCCCTATGGATGTGCTCGCTCCCCAATATTTCGGGTTGTCTGCACTCGCTACACCCCCTTGGTTTCACCAACCCTCGTTCTCCACGCAACTCTGCATGATGCCGCATGGCGACACTGTTCGTCTGCACCTTCCTGTGCTCCCAAGCATGTCAAAGCTGCACAGGTCCGGGCACTAGCAACAACTGCCCGCATCACAAGCTAGAGTCACAACCAAAGGGGAATCCGGCCACTGTACATTGCCAAACCCGAACGAACATTTGAGACAAGGTACCCTCCCCACTCAGCCGTTTAGCAAACAAGGACTTCTATGAATCGTTTAATCACTGCAACAAATGAATTCGAACTTGGCCCTCTTGCCCCTGCTCACTCTGGGTGAGTTGCCCGCACAGCACTATATTCGCAGGCCTGCACGTTTATGCAGGCCATCACCTAAAGCTCCACACTATAATCTCGTTTCTGCTTTGCTATGAGGTAAAACATATGAAGCGCCCCAAAACTACATCTGCACTTCTTCCATGCACAGCCTGGACTTCGACCCAAAGTGGAGGCCCCTTCCCCACCACTGTGCACCACCACAGAATATGATGTGGAAAAGACAAAGCTGGCAAACATGCACATGCACATGAGGAAGTAGCAAGAAAAATTCCAAGGAGCACCAAAAAATCCCCAAGCAGTTCCAACCCATGGACCAGAGCAATCCTTTGGGGTCAACAAGGAACCGGACTTGTTGATGTCTTCTTGCAAAGTAGGGACCATCAACCATTGACTGGCCTGCTCGATGCTGCCTGCCATGAAACGCAAATTGATCAGCACTAAAGAATGGCAAATAAGGAAACAATTATACAAGCAGGTCCATTGTCCTTGACAAGCACATGTGTAGTGCCAAGGCCTAGACTGCACAACCTGGAGGGAGCTCCCAGCCCACATATATTCCTTTTTTCATGCTGTACTGGCCAAACAGCAAATGAAAATTCAAATTCAAATTCACCTGCAAAGTGTGCCAGGCGCACTGCCATGGGAGCTGCATAGATAGGCAGGCCTTATCTCCAAACAAGGGCATAGATCAGCAAATGCCACTCTCAGCTGAAAATAAAGAATCATGGTCCTGTTGTCGGCAACAGTTCTGTTGACTCTTGTCAATGCATAAATGCTATCGATCACTTTTGAAAGGTAAGTTGTGCCAAAGCAACAATGACTAGCAGGCACTCACAATCGCCCTTGTACTGAGACAGGCCTGAACCGTCTCAAGCCCCTGCCTCCTCTTGCATCAGCTGTTTGGAGCTCTTGGAGAAAGCTTTCCTAAGGCTGCCAAACATTGATTTCAGGCTGCGCAACTGCCTGTCACCACCCTCCGACTTCGCACTGTCTTCCCTAGTGAAGCGCTTCCTCTGCACCTTGACCACCTCGCTAGGCAACATAGGGGCCTTCGAAGTTGGCTCATTCTCTGGCACAGGGGAAGGCGGGCTGAGGGCTGCCCTGCAGGCAGATGGGCTCACATTTATATGCTCCTGGAAAGCAGATGGAGAGTCGCCTTCCAATGCAACCCCAGATGCACTCCTGGAAGGGCCAACAGGCACTGGGAACAGGTCTGGTGGGTTGTGCTGCTGCTTGTTCAGCTTCTGGCCACCATGCCGACTTGGTTTCAGACGTTTATGCATCTTGTGCCACATGCTGAGCAACAGGGGCTTCTTCGATGCCTTACTACCAGCTGCAGATGGCATGCCCACTGGCGAGGTGGTTCTTTCCTCAACTGTTTTCATGTTGTCATTGCCTGCTCCAACACCCTTGCCCACAAAGTCACAGTGGGTGAGTGCAGGGAGTCCAGGTACTGCAAGCTTCCCAATGCGACCCTCCATCGCTGGCTCCTCAATAGCTGCTTCTTCAGCCACATCAGCACTCTGCCTACTTGCTTCATCTGGCGATGTTGGGATGGATTCCATAGTATGAGCTGTTACAAAAGTGTCATCAGTGTGCAAGGGAAAGCCAGATGAAGTTGCAGTCCTCATTGGGAAGTCGTTTTCTGAGCTTGAGATTTCAATGCCTAGCTCCATTTCCTGCTGGGCATATCTCCCTTTGAGATTGCTGGCCAAAAGAAGCTCGCCTGACAGCGTTTCTTTACCCCAGCAAACAGCAATGCCGCCATCAGCCACCTTTGACAGAACAAAGGCCATGAGCTCCCAAGCCCGAAAGAGCCTCAAGTGACGCAACATGTTCTCCAGCACCAATATCAGAGCGTGTCCTTCGACAATTCCCACGATGGCACACCGTGATGATCCATGTGCAGTGCCAGTGCGTGGCCTTAGAGACTGCAGCACAACCTCCAACTCCAAAATGAACTGCACCAAGTTTTCCTTCCATGCCCATTTTTGTGCTTCGAGGTTTGAAATGAAGACGTCTGCCCAAGAACTGGTGAGATAATTCATGGACATGACAGGACGAGACTGTGACTGCGCTTCTCCAGATGGATGAGAGTAGTACCAACCAGATCCAGACCAACCCTTTGAGCCAGACGATGGATCATGTGACAAAGAGCCCTGCAAGTCACGCTCCTTCCAGCCTAAAGATTGTGTCTCAGCTGATTCCATGCGGCGTTTCCGCACACCACCTTTATCTCTCACCCCTGAATACTCGCCAAAAAACTGCCCCTCTTGGCTTGCAGCTTCGATCACCTTGTCATATATTCTGTTTCCATCTCTTGCAGCTAGTTCTGGCAAGACACACAAGTGCCCAGGAAGACCGGCAGCAGCATTACCTTCAAAGTCACTCCCTTGCACAAAGAAGTCAATAACCCCCACCTCAGATGTGGCGATCTCAAACCTGCAGGCAGAATCCGTTGCCAATATTCACTTCTACAGCACCAGCAATTGCAAAGATGCTAGTTATCAACAATGCAAAAGCCCACAAAAATACAATAACATTGTCAACAGAAAACGGCCAGAGATGTGCACGCAATCAAAATTTGGATCACAACATTTACTTTCACTGGCCTATGACCACTACCTCATTGGCTCTCCTGCTGCTCCAGGTAGCTGCTGCCTAAAGATCTCTGCACCTCCAGCCATGCCCACCAATTCAAGGACATGTTGGAAGACCGTTGGACTGTCAAAAACCACTTCGACAGAGGTGGCGGTGTTGACTGGCACAAAGGGGGGCCTGATCAATGAAATGCCTGGAAGAACATCAAGCACCTGCGGCAAATTTGGTGTGGAGCCCTGCAGCAACAACAATACAAACTGCCTGAGGGCAATGCAACATGACCTGGAGACAACTGAAAGACTAAAAAACACAGCTGCTCGCAACCTTGGATTATGAGCGAGTCTTTGACACTGTTTACCAGACATCAAAGTGTTCCTGCATCGTGATACAGGTAGCAGGCCATTAACGACAGTGATACTTGATCACCTTCTCTTCACTGCACAAATAGTTTCATTGCAGAAGGCTGGACACCACACAGAAAGCACTGCACTTGTATCATGCACATATTTCAAGGCAAACACAACCAGTATGAGGGGCAAGCACCAGAAACAACCCAAGTGAGTCGAACATGCCACCCGGAGAGAAGACTGCAACCCCCTGTACCATGGTCACCATACAGCGCGCAGTGCTGGTATTGCTTGTCAGCAATGGCAACAACAGTGTCACTGTTGTCACTGTGTGGCGCTATAGCCTGCCAGCAATTCTTGAAAAAGGGGAGGGGGAATGACCCCAAGAAGAGTTGAAAGACCCTTTCACTTAATCTTGTCGTTGAACGCCTTCTAATGCTGAATTCAGGATGAGCTTGGAGGCCATGATGGCCCATGCCAGAGCATAATGCAAGGGTCCAACGCCCTAGTCAGCCCTTGTGCCAAAGTGATGGGACCCCCCAGAGCACAAAGGCCACCAGCGATCACATAGGCCCCAGCAGCGTCTGTGGCTGGTCACTTCCCACAAAACCAGGCCTCAGTCTTTGCAAGCCCTCCCTAACAGCAGCGCTCTGGTCTACTGCCCTGAATGGTTGGCACACTGCCCAAGGCCAACAACAGCAGTGCAGTGTGGCCTGAACAATTCTGATGTGACCATGGGGGATTAGACGATAATGTGGTCCTCCATGAAGGCATGCCCGCCACCAGGACTGTCATTCCCGACACTGCCGCTACCGTTGTCGCCGCTGTAATGAATGCGGCGGTCAGTCCTTGTAGCGGTAGCTTCGGGTCTCAGCCACTTTCGTGGTCCCTGTGAACAGAGAGCAACTTGACCTCCCTCTTCGCATTCCATGCCAGGAGGCGAGGCACCCGCGACAAGATACCCGGGTCGGAGACACGAACAACCCCAAAGCAGGCTCCACCACAATTGCACGAGCCAGCCCCGCCGCCTGGACGCCGCCCACCGAACCCTGTAACCCCGATGCCACCACGAGGCCATGAACATCATAAGTCATCGCGAGAAGGCGGCATTCACGCTTGAAGGCAATGAGGAGACAGGAGCGCAGTCATCGTCTGCACGGCCGTCCTGCCCGAGCAGCATTCGTCAACGTGGCAACACGCTGGCGGAGAGCGCTCCCGTGACGCTTCTGCCAGAGCGTCAGCGCCGTGCGTCAATATCATGAGAGCCAGCCGAGCGGGGGGGCAAGGACCGGGCCCCTTCACAGGCCGGCCGTGACGACCCCCAATGGATTCCCTAGAATGTCATGTCACACATGTCACCAATGGCCCTTCCCGCCCGCCCCCCCCCCCTCCTTCAATCCATTGAAAACCCCGCCGCACCCACCAAGGCCGCCGAGCGCCTAGAGTCCGCGGACGCCTTGGACACTAGCGAAACGACTGGGCTGTCGTCTCCAAGGATCGGCCCCCTGGGACCTTGCCGGGAGGTCTTGGCGATGTCCACGTACAGGTCTGCGCGCTGGCCGCCACCACTAGCACAGGGCTGCGCAACGTCCCCCCCACAGCTGCAGTCGCAGCCGCCGCCGGCCGCCTCCATGTCCAGCCCGGCTTCAGCCAGCCGGCCTCCCTCCTTTTCCCACCCAGATCCGTGGAGGAGCCGAGGGGGCCGTGCCTTCACAGGTATGTGTAGTGCTGGTTCGGTCGCCCAGTACATTGCGACGGGCGAATATCTTTCAACATAGTGATCCGTGCAACAAGCGCGGGGAGCAGCCCGGTGGTGGGTTACGTTGAGTGCCCGAACACTCTCCTGGCCACAGGGCAGGCATGCGGATCTAGTTACGTGGCCCCCTGTGCGAGTCCGAGCGCTCCGGGTTAGGGCCCTTCATGTGGTGGGTGGCATGCAGAAGTCAGCATCCAGTGGGTGATCACTATGGCAGCCAACCCAACAGAATATGTTAGTCCCTCTTGTCTTTTCCGTGTGGACACCTTCTTCCGCTGGCAAGGCCAACGCCGGTCACTTGAGTCAGTGTTTCACGGTTTAGGTCTCCGGAAACAAGATGGGATCCACACAAAAAGACAAAGTGACAAATCTCATGCCGCCAACCAATTGCTAGAGTATTGCTCGAGTTACAGCAAAATGTATGGTAATGAACAATCATCTTTATTTTAATGGTACTCAGTCTGGCATATTCACAACAATGTCCAATGACCTCACTCAATGGGATGGCCCGGGTATGCCACCGTTTTCAGTCATAGAAAACACATTTTCTGCAAGTGCTATTAAGGAATTTGTACACTTTAGTGCGGATGCACACAAGAGGCATGGGAAAGTGCTGCAAAATTTGCAGAACATTATGTAAAAATAGGGCTCCATTAATTGAGTCAGATGTTAGCAAATGGGGAATTGAATAGTCAGGATATAGGAAAGGTGATGACTTAATCAGCTAATCAATCCATCCATTTATCCATTCATCCATCCAAGGCACAGGTGTCATTGGGCTCGAATTGTGTGGGTTACTGAAAAGCTCGGTACTTCGGTGTCGACACCTCGGTGAACCCCAGTGTTGTACTTCTTCCGTCCGGAATTAAATAAAACAATTTGTTTGAGAGGTCGCATTTATATCAGACGCTTGCCCATTTTCCTTCAAAATTGCAGCAGAGCACCCTCTAGAAGCTCAGTAAGTGCTGCCAAATTTTTATGGAGAACGGATAAGTAGTACTTATTAAGTACTGGTAATATGACAGTACTTTAAACCCTTGTGACTCCAGCCAAGAACTCGAATCTTGTCAAGGTCTCGCCGAACAGCCCCCCAACAGGGTTTTTGACGAGGTAACCTTGTTACGCGCACCAGCCTGATGTGGGAGACGTCCTACTAATGGCTCTTGGTGTGGGGGACGCCCTGCCCAAGGCACGTACTATTCCTCACCCACTGTAACCTTTATCCATATTAGGATACGGGAGTAGGAGGGGTGGTCCCGCCTAGGTGCCCTGTAAGGACCTAGGTGCCCGGCGAGGTGGGTCCGCGGCTAAAAGAGGGCAGGAACCCCACACCCACATCCTATTCGTAACATTTGGTTTCGGAGCCGCCTGAGGGTGGCGGCCACGCTTCCACCTGGGAGCGCGCGAGAGCACAAGACGCCGGAGCCCTTCCCCGGCCTCCTCCATGGAGGCTGAGGAATCGGAGGAACAAGCCCGGGATGGGCAGTGGGAAGGACAAGCCCGGGATGGGCAGGCGATCGAAACAGCCCGGGATGGGCAAGGAACTGAACAAGCCCGGGATGGGCCAGGAGGTGTAACAGTCCGGGAGGACATGGCTGGACCCTCCACAGCCACATCGGCACCCGCAGCAGAAGATGAGCCGATGGAAGAAGTGGATACTCCGCCGGCGGCGGAGAAGACGCAGGAGCAAGACCAGGACGCAGAGGCGGCGGCGACGTTGCTGAAGATCCCTGGTATCAAAGAGCTTCTGCAGAAGATGGCGGATACCGCGGCCGAGAAGGCGAGAGCGAAGCGGGATGAAGAGACCGCCGAGAGGATCGCCTCGCTGGAGATCGCCGTCAACAAGGCCAAGAAAGAAGCTCGAGAAAAAGAGCTGGCCATGAAGAAGGCGAAGCAGCAGAGCCGCGAGGCCTAAGAAGCCAAAACCTCCGCCGAAGACCAAGTCAAGGCGTTGAGTGACCGCCTCCTGAAGCAAAAGCAGCGGGCCCAGGAGGCAGAAGAGAGAAGCGCCCAACAGGTGGTGCCAGCTGTGAGGGCCCCCAGTCCGTCGGAGCTGCCCATGCCAACCAACCCAGAGGAAGACTGGAAGGTTGCTGGCAAGCAGCGCTCCAAGCGGAAGAGTCCATCGCCAGGTGAGCGGCCGATGGAAAGTGAGAAATCTCCATATCAATGCCGGGAGGCCAAAGCCTTAGGGCGAGTTGAGAGAATGCAAGGCCGGAAGGTCAAGATCCCGGAGCTACGGCTCAAATCCCAGGTGTATGTGAGAACACCTAGTGGATCGGACGGGACCGGAGATGAGTCGCTCACAGAAAGCGCTCAAGCTGTTTGCGGAAAAAGTCCGCCAAGGCCGGGAGGCCATAATTGGAGCCCTCGGAGGCCTGCGCTACCAGAATGGGGGCCGGGTGAAAGCTCAAGGGTGCTGGAGTTCGTTCTAGACACTCGAGATCCATATAGCCGGCAACCACCGTGCCGTGCAATGTGGACAAAGTTCCACAGTGATCTCGTCGATGAGCTTGACGAGGGATGGCGGATGGCCGCCGACCAGTTTGGAGAAAGGTTAACCACCGCCAGACGGGTTAGAATACAAAGGTGGTATGGTCCTGGAATGGCAGATCAAATTGCCAAAGAGGACCCAAATTGGCCAGAAAAGATGGCCTTTGCGCTCAGGCATATCCCGGAACCATGGGATTTGAGCGAGGGGAGTCCAGAGAGACCAGACCCTAATGATCCCCACGAGCGGTGGGAGGAGATCTCGGAATTGTCGTTCTCATCATGTGCTTCTCCTTTGCCGGGTGATAAGTCAACCCGTGCACAAGTGCATAGGATGGAGAAGGAGAGACGACGGATTCGTAACCGAGATCGTTTTGCTCGGGCAAAGAAATTAGACGAGCAAAAGGCCAGAAAGGCCAAACAGCGGAGAGAATTGAAAGCGCTGCGACGTGAGCGGGATCGTCAACTGAATCCTGAAAAGTATGAGCGTAAGCGAGCTCACAAACGCCAGCGCAAGGCTGAGATCAAGCGGTTTTTCTCCGCAGGAGGCAGCCAAAAGGCACAGCGCCTGGAGGTACCGCCCAAGGTCGATGAGCTGGACCCGGCCGAGCAGGCTAAGGCCTTTGCCCGTATTGCCAAGGAGGGGACCTCCACCCGCTGGGCAGACCAGCAGGACAGTAGCGGCAGTGACAGTGGTGTAAACCACCCTGCCCGCTTTGTCCCTATCCAACCGGAGCAGGTATCGCCATCGGTTGTGGTAACCAGCGGTCCTAAGGTGCAAAGGATGCCGGAGAGGGAGACCCCGCTTGGAGAAGCAAAGGCGAAAGAACAGCCTGATAAGGCAAAAGACCCGCCTGCAGAGGCGAGAGTACAGCCTAGAAAGGCAAAGGAGGAATCCAAAGACCCGCAAAGGCCAGTTTCAGGTAATCATCCTGTTGAACTGTCTTTGCTGCGACCTGTTGTGAAGAATACACAGATGCGTAACCGTGCAGAAGTTGGTGATTCTGCTGGTAACGATGAGATTGTGTATCTCGGTTCAGCAGATGAACCTGCCAGTCCAATTCCCCGGGAAAGACGGGAGACATATGAGATCCTGCAGAGGCAGGAAGCTGCTTTGCAGAAAGCAAAGGCGGATGCAGAGAAAGCTGCACAGCTTCGTTCCTTGATGGGGGATGAAGACTATGCAGCATATCTGGAGCTGCAAGAAGCAAAGCAGATTTCTCTGGGACGGCAGGAAATTGCCTATAAACCGGCGAAACCGGGGCCTGGATACCAGGAACGCCGCGCCCAGCAAATGGCGGCTGATCAAAGAGGACGCGCCAAGGTGCCGCCCGAGGCTGCAAAGCCCACCCCAGTGATGCGTGTTCCTGTCATCCAGGACACGAGGGGCTTTTGGGATACGCTGGGCGCCTTTCATGACCCTCATGGAGGGGTATACTTTAAGGGGTATTATCATCCCCGTGGAGGACATGCCCCATACAGGGCCCAAGTCCCAAGGGACGCCCTCCAGCGTATACCCGGGAAGCTGCGTGGCCTCTTTGATGCGCAGCAGACGGCACTGGGGATATACGTGCCAGAGGGTTAGGAAGCAGCCATGGAATGGCAGGCCATCCAGAGAACTGGCCGAAAAGTCCCTGAAGAGGGATCGGTGCAAATGCCCCCGGGACCATCGATGCAGGCAGGTCCCTCCACACCGGCTCGTCCAGTGGCTCAGCCAGAAACGGCGCCAAGACAGCCGGTGCGGCCTTATACAATGGGGCAGGCTGGACAGCGGACATCACAGCCTCCTGTGCAAACGACGCAGCAAAAGATTCAAAGGCTGCAGGAGATGTCTCCATTTGCGCCGGAGTCAGCTGTGTATCCGCCAGTTCGGTATTATCAGCCAGGGATGGCGGCACAGCCCGGGAGGGCATATCAACCCGGAAGGGTACCGCAGGCGGAGATCGGCCCAAGACAAGAGGAATACTCAACACCCGCTTACAGTGGATCATCCCATCCATCCGGATCAGGAGGTTACGAGAGGGTGTACGAGTACCCGCCCGGTCATTTCCAGACCCAGGAACCTCCACATGAGGAATTTCTGTTTGGGCTGGAGGGTGATCAGGCTGTTGAGCCACATCGGGCGGAAATGGGGCCTCCACCGACTCCGGAGGGGTACAATCCCCAAGGGCCGGGTTATACCGGTCAAGCCTATTTGGCAGCGGCGCAGGAGATTCCATATGCGCCAGTTTATTACGAACCCGGAAGGGAAGCTCAGGTGAGCATGAACATGCCTAAGATGAACAGTCAGGGCATGAAACCCCCCAAATGGAATGAAGATAAACAGGCCTTAACCAAGTGGTTACAAGAAATCATCATGTATTTCAAAACCACTATGGCACCCCGGA